TATATAATATATTATATAATATATTATAGTTACAAATCGATGATTATCGCTTATATCATTGGAAAATATTTTAATGTCATTTTTATTCAATAATCAAGCAGTTGAAAGAGCACAATGAGATAATAAAGTTTATAATTTATAGATCTTATTTTGAATACAACTTTCTATATTTAAAATAGAACATTAAAAATTACGTAGTATGAGTATTAGGTTTGTATTGAATTGTCCAATTACTCTAATTGACCCGACATATATATATTTGCGTTTGTTATTACTTTTACTTAGGAGCGACTCGGCTGCAATTTGTGAATCTCCGATTCTCAGCGAATAGTTGTTGCCGCTAATTGACAATGATATTCGAGAAGATACGGAGAACAAAAATGATCTCGAATCATTATCGCATATTCATTAATCTCATTTCCATCGTACCTTAAGTTCTCTCTCTCTTTGAACTCAGTATTGTGCAATGTATACATTCCAATGCCTATTTTCTTTCTCTATTATATACAGAATGATTTTTAATTATATATCAATATTTCAGAGAATAAATCTAAAGACCTAAAGATCTAAATAAATAAAAAAAATATCATAAAAATGTCATAATATTTAGATCGTTTAAACTTTACTTCTTATGACTATTTTTTTCTTATTTTGGAAGCTAAATTCTTTAGAAAAAAATGAACATATAATTAAAATCATTCTGTATATGTATATGTATAATTTTATGTTTTATTTACTTTTTTATAGAAGTTTACAAATTTTTCTTTTTATTTTATATGCCATGAAGAAGAAGAAAAAATAGCATAAGTTAAAGCGTAAAATCATACGATTTTTTCATACTTTTGTATATACATTCATATAAGACGAAGAAAAAAAAAGAACTGTGACAAAATACATAATTTATATACTCCTTAGTATCTCGAGATGAATTTCTTTTTAATCATGCCTGCAACTATAAATTGATAATATCTCTATATAGTTTGTAGCAGTGTCGTTGATTTAAAAATTATCTTTATTTTCTCATTGAAAATATAAATAAATTACAAAATATATAGTGACAGTGTATGTATGGATCAATATACTCGGAAGAGCGATTCTTTAAAATAAAATTTATATATATATATAGTGATTTAATCGCCGATTACATCCAGATGAGTCCAATTCATTAAGAAGCTTCTTGCTGAATGTTTTCGGTGTTCAAGGCGATTATTACGCATTTTTTTACCTTTCTTCTCTGTTTCTTTATGAAGGTACGTATATACGCGAGTTGAATATGGTCTGTTCATGTTACGTTCGATGTAATTTTCAATTGTTTATTCGGCTTACAGTTCCTTATCAAACTACGTGCAGATATCAGAGACCTCGATAATGACAGATTTAAATCCGTCTTAGTCTCGGCATCCATCCGTTAGATACAACGACGACAACGACGATGATATTCTTATGCTTATCTTAAATTACCGTCTAAAAGAATCCTCCCGATGACTCGAGAGATAAATCGAGTACAGGAATCGGCGCCTGACCATAATGGCACATACACATCACTAGGTACTAACCGCTAAAGACTAGGGAGATATATCGTCACTACACGGTGCTCTCCGTATCGGATGCCACGGAGAGCGTCTGCATCTTCGGCACGGAATAATTCTCCGAGTGACCATGGTTCTGTCTATTAGATACCCTTTCCAGGGTCGAAGGAGCTGATGGAGTGTCTTGGTGAGCCTTAGGAGGAATTGGTGGAGGGCTTACCTGTAATAAAAAATTAATCAAATCCTTGCTCTCATGGCAATTTATAATTATAATTGATATTTATAACACATATCTTCTTACCTCTTGATTAGGAAGAGAATGCGAACCTTGGAATGTACCGCTGACGAAACTACCAGTGGAGACGTTGAGCGCGCTTATCACAGACGGTGGTGAGATGTTCATGATGTCGTTGCATCGGGAACGTGGCTCAAAGTCCTCGTAGCTGAGATTGTTCAGATTCGTCAAATGTGATTGAAAATCTAACAAGCTGGCCGTAGAGATGCCACTGTCGCGTAGATCATTCGGTTCGTTTTTCGGCTCGGTGATTTCGGAATCATCGTCTGTGCTCCATTCTGTATTCGTACGTTTGTGCGTTAAACCGCGTTTCGGTGGCGCCGGCGGTACCGTTATATTCGTATTTGAATCCCTCTTATCCAGTACTGAAATAGAAAGCACTGCGTGCATAATCACATATATTGGAAGAAATATCATAGAAAGTTTATTGCCAGTGATTTGTTTTATTTAAATTTAATTATATTTCAGTGACAAATAATAATTCTAACAAAAAATGTGAATCTCTGATATGTCTACATATAATATAAACACATAAATTAAATAATTACAGCTTTTTATCACTGACTTGTTTTATATGTTGAAATATTTTATTAAACAGGTATTTCAAAATAGAAATATTAACTTACTGCAACCTCTGGGTGGTAGTGGCGGGGCGGGCTCGGGTCCAGGTTCGCTCCATGAACTTCTGAGACTGCTTTGATCCACGCCATCAGTAGGAGTGGGCAAGGAATGCCTCAATGGCAGTTTCGGACTCAGCGGTTTACTGAGAGATCTCTGATGTGTGGGTCTAGGTGGAGTTGTACCGTAGCCGACGGAACGTGGCCGCACTTCGCGCTGCGGAATAGGTGGTGGTGCACCGTCCACTTTTGTGTAGAAACCTTCGTCCTCGGGAAGACCATCACTGTCGGCGTGCGATGACCTGGAACCGGCAGTTTCCAAAGTTGCCGGACGTTGCTTATCATTGATCGGCAATGGTGGTAACGGTGAACTAAGAGAACAAAGGTAACATTACAATTGTAATAAAATTTTAATTTGGAAGTTCTGATCTGAAGTACAATAAAATAATCTCTCTAGAACACATAGGATATAATTACTTCACAATGCTATCTTGATGAATCGTTCTCTGTCTGGCCAGCGGACCAAGACCTTGTTTAAGCTGTGTAAATCTTTCGATCAGTCTCTTATGCAACGGTTGAACTCCAGTTGGCGCGATTTGACCGTGCAACACTAGACCAGATTCCAATACACTCATCTGATCCAATATCAATCCTTTCAATCGATTAACATGCGGCACCATTTCTGGATTTTGTCGGGCAAACTCTGGCGTGAGAAAAGCCTCTTGGTACTTGGTAATACCACCCATCACATTAGCGTCGATAATACCCTGCAATCGCATGCTGAACGGATTGATATTCCTATGTGGTTCCGCAGTATATTGCGCTACCAGCCGTCTCAGCTCCCTTTCCACGCTCTGCATAGTCTCGCAGGCGTATTGTACTGGTGCTAATAGTTCCGATCGCTTCTCGATTACTTCGAACCACCTGAGAATCCCTGGAAGTTTTGCTTCCGTCGTCAGCATCGTCCTCTCAATCCATAACGATTTGAATTCATTCTCACGATCCACCGGGCCGCGATGCAATGGTCGATCGAACGTAAACTTACGAACGTCGTTCACCAAATAAAAGGCTACCACGCGTTCTGGAACTTCGACGCCACTACAAGCCAGACTGCCCTCCTCAGGAATCGGCTTTACATTGCAAATTTGAATATCTGCAAAATGTATAGCATACGATCATTAAGTAAAATTATATATTTATATTAATACATTCACTGGTAAAAAATTCATTTCTAAATTATTGAGACTAACTCTTAAATTAATAAGATTAGTAGTTTATAAGAATATTTAATGAATTAAATTTTGCACTTACATTGACCCTCGGACGTGAGGATACTTTCATCAGGTGGCGAGTTCTTCATTAAAATTTGCGCACAGGGAAATTCGGTCTGCAGCCGTTGCGTAAACGCGCCTATTCGTTCGTACTCCAGACCACGATAAATAAATAACTTATTCTGCAAAAAGAAGCACAAATAACATTTTCGAGACATTCATTTTACAATAAGTAAAATGATACTAATAAAATCCAGATCAAAACTTTGATAAGATTTTGAATATTTCATCTTCAAACTTACTCTAACAAAAAGCGGAAAGCTAAGACCATAGAATCCAACTCGAAAGTATTCAGGTTCCGGGCGCAGCTGTGTCAGGATGTTATCCAAGAACTTGGCTTGCAGCTTCAGAACATGGCTAAGTTTGGCATAATCGTACAATCTGGTCTCATAAAGAATTGCTAATTCCTTGCACAAGGGTATACCCTTTTCCCAGCACTTGCCTCGGTCGAGATAGTGAATGATTTTGTGATAGAGCACCTCTTTGCGCTGCCACTCTGGTTGCTGGGGATGAGCGTGATCAGGTGGCAGCATAGTTGAGCCCCAGCCCAACTGATCGGCGTAGAGCTTCATTGTAAAGCCGGCTTCCGTGTAATTTTCGGCAACCAGATGTAGATCGTGCAGTTTGTAAATATAACGTAGATACATCTCTTTCCGATTGAACTCATTTTTGTAGAAATTCTGAAGAAAAAGCAGAAGTAATCCCATGTTACACTCTAAGGTGTAGCTAATAGCTAGTAATTGATGATTGAGCAGTAGTGGTTAAGTAGACAGATGAAACGATAAACTTTCCATCGGAGAGCGCGAACCCAAGTGCTAAATGTCGTGCAAGGAGTGACCATACACACCGCGTGCATCGGATATATCTACTGAATATATATGTGTACCAGCCGTCGCATGTCGCACGGTTTAGTTAATTAACATGCTAAATCTTAAGAAAATATGTATATATAGCTACTTCGCGCCATGTATTCCTTAATTACAGCATATTATTCTCACTAATAAGTAATAAGTAACCACGCTATATTGGAAATATCTAGATTTTTCTTTAACACGTTACCAATAGATTCACGGTGCATGACATGCGCTTGTCACGATTCTCGTCACCCTGAATAACGCTTCTATAATCAAGAAGCCTTTCCAACAAACGCGTAACAGACGTTATAAAGGCAGTGCCGCTATCTTTCCAAGTTGGATCTTCGGACTGCACCCTATCCAGCAATCTGTAAAACAAAAAATATAGAAAGATAATTGCAGGCATAAATTAAACAGTTCGACAATAAAATTACGTTCAATTGTAAATGTCGCACTTACACAGCGCTAAGATGTTCCCTGAAGCGGCATGAAAATATAATAAGTTGCAAATATAATAAGTGTTACGTTGTAAAGTGTTAATACAAGTGTTATAAAACAAGACAAACGCAAACAAAAAAATATAATGAATTATATATAAATGAAGAACTGTACAATATTAAAATATTAAAATTTTATAACTTGAAGAACAAAAAAGTTTAATTAAAGTGGCTATGTTAACTTACATAGTGTTAAATAACTGTCTATATTCATCATCGCCTTTGTTCTCGCTAATAAGAATATCAAGTTTGTCAATCAGTTCTGACTCCACAGATTTGAAACTTCCACGGGCTCGTTGCTCGCATTCCATCATATCGAAAAAGATATGTAGAGTTGCTTTACGGAGTTCGCTCTCTGGAACTAAAGTGACCTCGAGGAAAGGCCCTACCATGCCTGGTATAAATTCGAGCTTACGTTCGCCTAGATGCGACCACATGGATAATATCTGGAAGCCCATGAGTACTCTCATGTCACCGTACTTTTCTACAATTTTCTCTCGTTTAACCTCAGAGAATTGTTCGAGTTGAAGCGATGGTTGAGTAAGATAAGCCACCGCCAAATTAAAGTACGTAGACCAGAGCTGCGAATCGAAGCTGCCATGGAGAAACCGAAAAGCGAGTGGCTGTGCGAGTTCTTGCAGCGATCTGAGGATGATATTGTTGGCTTGCATTCTGATAACTAGCCAATCGGGTGGGAATACTTCTTGACGCACAAGGTCGCGCAGCACTAGAAACACCCGAAGCAGAAAGTCCTTGAGAGGTTTCCGATCACCGGCGTGCGTCAGTTCTTCCCAGAGTCGTGCGTAATGGTATTCGTCGAGCAGCTGAAGCAATCCAATAAGACAAGCGACGAGACAGCCGAGAACTGGCCCATTAGCGTTTATCACGATCAATATCGTCTGTATGAGCACGTCGAGCACCGATAGACAGAGCGTTTCAACGTCATGATGTATGCAGTTATTAACTTTGTTTGTGTCTCTGCCACGCTTGTGCAGGAAGCCGAGTATCTCGCCTAGGATATCGGTGCAGGATCGTAATTCCTCCCTACGTGCCAGATGAATACGCAGATGTCGACATATGGTGACGAGTAACATGTTCCGGCTTTCGTCATCTTTGCGGAATAAACTAGACGCGGTAAGATTTTTAATAGCGACCAGTTTGGCCTGCGTGAGTTGCAACGGTGGCTCCCGTGGTATCGAGTCTAGCATCGTGCAAGTGAGTTTGGCCACCTCGAGGACAGGCAGCACCGCGACCAATTGCTCGAACACTGCCGCGACCGACAGCAATAACGCGATTTGCGACAGCAATACCATTTCATAAGGAATACTCAACATCTTGTTGAGAGCTGCAAACACGCAGTATAAGTCACGCTTGAAGCTGTCCTCGTATTGACCTGCAGTTGCACGAGCGAAAAGCAGCCGACTTTGGATGATGAACTTGAAAATATATTCGAGAGAGCGGAAGCATTTCATGATCGGCTCCTGCTTCTCCGCGGCAGTTACCCAATCGGCACAATGTTGCACGCTACTGAGGAGACCTTTGTACACCAAAGCCGCAGCGAAATGGTCCGAGATATAGGCATCCATCACTGGCTTGAAGTGTTCAAACTTGGAATCCTCTAACAAGCTAAAGATAGACACGAGTACTTGGAACACTAAGCCGGAATGCGCTGTGGAATTACCGTCTTCTGTATGAAACATGGCGAACAGTGCGTCAAGAATGTCCTGTAGAAACTTGACTAGTTCTTCGCCGTCCAATCGGAGAACACGACCGAGGGCTTCGGATATTCGCTCGGGATGAGCCTTCCATTGCAACAAACTGAGTAGATCGACATTCTGTGTTAGTTTGGTACTGCAGAGCAGAGTATGTACGAATACAGTCTCCTTCGGCGATCTAGAGAAAGTTGATGGGCCTGTAAGACAATCAATATTTTTTAGAAATATTTTATATTAATTATTTATCTACAGAGAACGTAATAAAAATAGACCATGTGCAATTCAATTATATATTATAGAATAATTAATATACTATTTCATCACACAAATTTTGTGATTGAATATTATCGAAAAGAATTTTCTTTCATCAAGGAATTCAGACTTACCTGAGGCGCACGGCTCTCTTGTGCTACTCGGTAACGATAGATAACCGAGGGAATCCAATTTTGCGCGTTCCTCGCATTTATAAATATATAATTCGTGCGGACCATCCTGAAGGGTGGCACCTCCGGGCTCCATTAGCCGTACGAATGCAAAGGCGAAAAGTTTCTTATCGTTCTTCTCGCGCGCTGCAACAGAAGCTTTCTCGTTGTGAAAAGCTAAATGAAGACCGTGAAGAATAGGTGAAAAGAAGATGGAAGCTAAGCGGAGAATGTTTAAGAGAAGATGAAAGATCAGAATCAAATTGATATCTATCGGAACTCACTGGAGCAATGCCGAAACTCGAAACGCACGTGGCTCCCATAAAACTTGTCGATGGGTATCGCCAATCTCACAGTTTCCGCCCATGATGGACTGTTGTGATGGTATATGACTAAACTCTGATATTCGGAACTACCGTCCATCCCCGCGGCTCCGAACAAGCAATCTTCCAGAGGTTGGCCGTCCGCGTCTAGGATCAAGATCGTCACCTAATTTTATTATAACAAACAAAATTGAAATATTTAATTTCATCGTCGTAAACTAAACCTTTTTGACAAAATCGAAACGATTTTATGATATTTAAATTTATTAAATTTATATAATTAATAATTGCGCCCTTTTTCTTTAATTGAAAATTAACTCCATTTCCTGAAAATATTCTCACATTGTTATTTTATATATTACAGATATATATATCACGGGAGAAATTAATTCATGAACAATATTATCTCACCTCAATATTCTTGCCAGTGGATTTTCCGCCACGTTCGAATTCACCTCGTTCCAACTTCAGATACAGATCGTTACGCACATCGCCCGGCATAATAACGTCCGAGAAGCCAAGCTTTTTCGTGAGACAGATATTTTTGAACAACAATGGATTCTCATCTCGAACCTGAGATAATTCACCATGCAAGATACGAAGAGACACCACTATTCCATAATTGGGCTGTCCGGGTAGAGGAGAACATTTGTTATTGCGTATGATTTGTTCGTGCAGCTGATGAAATTCCTTCTCTTCTCCTTGATATACCTATACAGATAAGTAAAAACTTTTCCAACTAAATTCACTAGTCTCACGTTTCCTTCCTAAATCTTATTTAAAAAATTAAAAGTAAAAGAAAAATAACTCAAGATTCGATCAATTTTTTTGATAAAATATATTATTGAAACTCGCAAGCTTTAGAAACTTACATCTTTGATAAATCGAGATTGAAATGAAATTTATAAGATGCATAAACTAATATATATTTTCTTTTTCAGCTTTACTTTAAAAGTCATTTCGAGTTCCTCCGCGTGATCCTGAGCGGCCTCCGCCAGAGAAAGAACCGCCACTCCGTGAGGTCGCCTGTAGATTGCAGTTCCGGTCTTGTTTTTACCAGAGTCAGAATACAACATCCGGCCACAACGCATCACGTGTGCGATCATGTAAAGATCACGGCTCAGATCGGAGTTGCCCAGGTCAGTGAAAATCGTGCAATTACTGTGCATCTTTTCTACATAATTCGAGAAACCCTCCTTGCTGATGCGCACCAGGAAACGTTCGCTCAGGTACTGCTGCCGCTTGGCGTCGAACAAGGAGAAATAGATCTCGGTATCTTCACCGACCGAATGACCGAAGTCCCTCATACAAAAGTATAGATGATGGGTAAGGACTTTTCTATGTTCCTTACGGCGTAGAGTGCCGCGAGCGGATGCACCCTGCGAATTCTCAGCGCTTTGCACGTGCTACAAACCCCACCCAAGGAAGAAATCAACATTACAACATACGTTCGTGATAGTTCATGATAAAAGTTTGGTAAACTTTATTTTAGAAAGTCACGAGTCCATATCGGACTACGGATTAGAATTAAGAATTGAAATTTGATCAATCAGATATCATTGATCTTGAAATTAGTTTTCTCCTTCCGATTAAATTTCAATAAATACTTAATTCCAATCTAATCTGTAATCGTAATCCCTAATCTGATATGTTTTATCGTATCGTCGCAATTCAAGAAATTGTAACTAATTATAACTATTAGGATTTATAAGAAGTCGCTGAACAAAAGTAACTGTATCGCTTCGCGCATAGCGAAATTAAACGATGTTACCTTCGTGGTCAGCATTCTAATGAAGTCCATATCTCCATACCATTGCTGTTGCGCACCATGTTTGACCCTTCTTTTTGTTCATTGCAGTTTATTATTCAATGTTCGCGAATTGTACAATCGACACGAGAAGAAGCTGTTATTTTATACATAATTACCACATGATATAGCTCCACGACAGACATCGTATCCGGTTCCACCATGTGAGCACCTTGACGTGGCACCAGATCCAAGCCGAGTTTCCTATGGCAAAGAAAACAAGTGATAACAAATAGAACTGTAACGCTTTTAATACGAAACTTTTAATGAAACGATAAATATCCCGCTATCAATTAATAGGTCGCAATTAAAAATTGTGTACAATGGATGATTTTATAATTATTTTAAAACGTATTATATAAATCGTTTAAAACGAAACGTTAAAATGCAAAACTCAGATGATCATAATCGTTATTGAAGAATTATACATCGAGGGGTTATTTTAGTTATACATTGTTTGTAAAATATAATTAAAATTCATTGATGCGCTATACATAAATATAACGACGCGACTCTTACTTTCAAGCGTAAAAGTCCGTTACAATAGAGGAATATTTTTAATTTATGCCATTAATCGGATAGAGTCTATATTCACCTAAAAATAAAATTATCCAACCCCCGTGCGACAAAGTACATTATATAATACCTATCGATAAAAATTCCTCGTAGGTTATTTCCATATCAAAGGAAGAGACACTTCGAGACACGCGAGAGAATACCTCAGGGTCGGATTTACATATACATTAAATGGCTAAATAAGCTACAGCTCAGGATCTAATTAAAATAAAATATTAATTAGATAATAAAATAGCGATCCAATAGTGATCTCTCGATATTCTTTTTAATAAAATCAGAAAGATCTCCTTCTCTCATTTCGGAGTTCAAAGGCACGAGAAGCCGAAATCCACCCCCTGTATTTTTAATCATCCCCTCGAGATGGGGGCGTCGACGAACGAGATTCGTGGGGTGGCGACGACGACGGGGGAAATGAATACGGAGGCGCGCATGAAATACAGGATTATTACACGTCGCTGATTGAGGCGTACGTTGCATCACACTTTGGGAGGTTCGCTTTCGAAGTGGGGCCCGGAGAGAGAAGCGGCTACTTAACTTCTCGTGACCCCGACGCGGGGGCCGGGCCGGGCCGAGCCCGCATGCCATAGGGCCGACGTGTTCTCGAACGCGTTGAGAAAGCCCTACTCTCGGGCGCGGAGGGCACCGTCGCCCCGCAGGAATGCAGGTACATGCCGAGTACGTACTCGAATCGTTTCTTTTTCTCTTTTCTTCTTTTTTCACGCGTACACGTACGTACGTACGTACCTACATAAATAGGGAATAGGGATTTGTAAGAAGCCGCGAGATTTATGCTTATCGGAAAAGAAACGGGGACTTGTGTGCAGCGAATTCCTAAGAAGTTAGCGATCCTCCACGAGTTTCTACGGGAACATAATTATAACGTTGCGTCCCGCCGTAATCTATTTAAAATGATATAAGAGTTATTGTAATAGAAAAGGAATAATGAAATGGATTAGGTAATAAAACTTTAAAGGTAATAAAACTTTAAATTCACAATTATATAAAAATTGAATGAAGATGAGTAAAGAAATTATTCATTCTGACAATATAAATTTAGAAACATTCTTGTTATTGTATTGCAGTGATGACTAAAATCATTAATAATTTATATCCTAAATTTCAATGGAATAAAGCTTATTTCGACAGGACCGTCCGATTATTATTATTATTGTTGTTATCGTAGCGATAATTAATTTAATGGCTGCCATTAATTAGCGGCTTTATAATTTCAATATGATTTTATTTCGCTTTCCAGTAAACAAAACTTATCTCATTGACATATTTAATTATGGCTGGTTGCTACATTCTATTGTCTATATGACATCTATATGATTATGTCATTAACTTGTAATGTTGTAATGAATTTTACAGTTTTGTGTCTGTAAAAATATACCGCTAAAGTTATATCTAGATAAAATTTCGTTTTATTTTCTCCAACATTCTAAGTTTTTTCATCACATTCAGATTCATTAAAGTTCCGCATAATGGACTCATGAGATTTTATCTATCGTTCAATATTTACGCGAACATAAAATTTGCCGGGATAATAAAATTTTATATTCAAATGTAGATCACATTTAAATATTTATTGCGTCATTTCATCTCTCGTCAATATTTCCAACATATTTCCGAGGAGAACTCTGATTGAAATCAAATGTTTACAATTACGCATAAATAATTAAATATTTTTATTTCCATGATGACAATTTCCATTTTTATATGAAAAAAGGCATGATTCACATAGATATGATCGAGCGCTAACTTGAGTTTATAGTTAGTATATTTAAATCCTCTTCGCAATCGAGTCTTAATCGTGTGGCAAGCAAAGCGTGATAATTTATTCGTTGGCATTTGCATAGAATCGGCACGGCAAAGCAAAGCATAGATTCGATTGTTATTAATCGCTAAAATCGGACATCGTGCGTGGAAGGGCACAAACACGGTGGTAAGAAAGTCCTTTCATAAATCTGACTTGATAGTCCTTTAAGCTTCTCTGAGAACGTTTAATTTGACCGCAGTACCGTAACTATTCCTACATAAAATGCATAGCACGAGAAAATTATTCCATACTCGCACTGCTTATTTCCGTTCGCATTCGATTTCATTTGATTTGATTTCTACATTCACTTTATCACTATAATATGAATGAAACAGAGATTAAAAATAAAATAATTATTTGAAATCTTTAATCTAACCATAAATAAATATACATCTTTTGATGAAAACAAGTTTAATATAAATGGAATATAATTGAGAGTACGATACAAAATTGTACTCGCTGTCTCCTATAATAAATCAATCCGCAATCTAACAAAATTCTATCCCCCTAAACGTCTACGAATTTCCGGGCTCAGACGAAGATCGTAAAAAAAAAATAATTGACAATGAGAGTCGTTTTCAGAGAGAGAGAGAGAGAGAGAGAGAGAGAGAGAGAACGTCGGACTGCCTTTCACGAACTTGATGTTAGAGCAAGATTAAATTAAGTGGTAGGTTCGAAAGAGTCGAGAGGAGAGTACGGTTCCGCGGTGCACTTGCTCATTTTATCTTCTTCCTTTTTCCTTTGCGGTCCAGACTCTCTCAAACCTGAGAATTTCCCGCCCTCCGGACGGCTACATCACTGATCGCGATGATTCTATGTACACCGAATCCTGCACCCTCGCCGCCATCAGTCTGCTAGGAACGTACTCAGGCCTCTTGCTACCGCGTATGCAAATCGATCAATGATCTGAGGTATTAGAATTATAATGAATCTTGTCTAATTAAAGTTTAATAGCAAAATTGTCAGAATTGAAATTGTCTTATCCAAAAAATGTGTATGTTTATTTATCCAAGAAAACATAATAATAGAGGATTCTATATAAATATTTGTGGAACGCAATAAAAATTGTCTGAGGGAAGCGATTATTGTAAATGATTCGATATCTTATTAATAGCGGTATACATTTTTAAAAAGCAAGTTATTTTCAACCACAATTTATTGTCTATTAATGCAATTTCATATTAGTGATATCTTTATAATCAGTGATATGTTTTCAGGTACAATTTTTAGCTGCTGAAGGATCGGTACGCGCAAATAAAATGCAAATCAGCGCTCTTTAACATAAGATCGAGGAGGGCATCGAGCACGGCTCGCACGATCCTGCGGGCCCCGAAAGCTCCCCCTCCAGGTTCCTCATGATGGAATGCAGGTGAGCAGGCAGACTTCGATGCGTGGAGACAGGTTCAGGCAATGTCCGCCGCCGCCGCCGCGGCCACGTTGTTGGGACCTATGCTCCATTCCAAAGATATCGGATATATTCCAACGGGCGTCGTGGACCTGTTCTCCGGCGACCGGCCTCACGACGACGAGGACGAGTCTCCCTTGTCCTCGCTCTTCTCCTCCCTTGGGTACAGATCTCTCCTCGTCCTCAGGATGACGAATTTGTTCGGCCAATGTCCGTGTCAGGGCTCGCTCGACACATGGAGCTTCGAAGACGACGAGTCCAGAGTTTCATCGACGCGAAATCGCTTCCTCGTCGATGAAACTCTGGAAGTTCGACGACTTCCTCGCCCACGCCGATACGAGAGAAAATCATTCCTCTCTCTTTCTCTCTTTCTCTTTCTCTGTCTCTCTGTCAAGCGAGGGGGCATCGAACTACCGCCTCTTGGGATATCGATGTTAGCTGAATCTGTCTGGCGTCAACGAGAAAGAAACGATTAGATCTTACGGATTAAATGCACTTACGTCATTTAATCCTCCGAAGGACGAGAGCGCGGCGCAAAAAAGATATAAAAATGTGAGTAAGAGTAAAAATAATATATGGAAAGCGCCATTTATTTTACGCTATTATTAATAATTATTATTTATTTTAGAAATTTTGCATCGATGGTATTTAAATTCGTGATACGCCGATGTATGATAATATTGAACAAGTTTATAAAAGATAATATTTCACCGGAGGGTGCCATTTAGTTTTCCAATTTGACGTCTTGCGAGGGATCACTCTTTCATCTCGGAATATCATTGGGAGAAGGAATCGTAGCTTCGGCTTTTCCTCTTAGGCAAGAGACATCAGTTCAGGAGCTCACCCTTTCTCGCGTCGCCCAGGGAGATTTCAGTTACCGTTCGGTAGCTCTAAACGCTATAATTACGTCGGTGCTCCTGGGAAGTCAGTCGCGAACTTCCCGTTCCGACTCTCGGACGAGCAATTCTCTCTCTCTCTC